TTTCACAGGAAGGGATTATCTCGGGTGAAGCGCATAAATCTGCTTTTCTGTTTACCTGATGTGCAAGTCGGATCAATGACAGACATTCAAGCAAAACATAACACGGAGAAGGATTTGCCAGATCATTGATGGGACTTCATCGAACGTCAGCAAGATCCTGCGAAGGTCATAACATCGCGATCATTTCCAAAAGTTAAGTGAGTAGAGCTTGAAACATAGAATTGCTTGGGAATTTTTGTGACCCAAAAGTTGTTATGTCAACGAAAAAGTGTCTCGTCTCACAAAGCATCAACGCTTTTCCAGAATTGCAAATTGTATCCTATATGCTCACCGGGTTATGAATATCAGTGAGTTGCCATTGCCTTGGGAAACCTTTCAGTTATTATCTTCACGGCAGCAAAAAGTCAATCCTTCTCACAAATTGATCGTTTGAAAATAATTCCCTGCTAATTTTTTTCGAATAAAATTTTGAAATTTGAAGTATATTTTGAATAACAGTAAGCAGTATACTTTCCCGAGAATTCAAGCTCATTGAACTGAACTTTTTATACAGTAATTTCTGTATACCCTTTCTGAAACCTTAAAGGATCAAGATAAATTGTTGGCTTTATATGATTTTTCATCAAAGATTCTCAAATTTTTTCATTCAACTAAACCTCATATAGAAACAAGCTGAAGACCTTGTGTTTTAAATTAATTAATACATATATTTTGTTACCAATGTCAGTGTTCGGAATGTAGCTTTTGACTCTGGGAATTTTAATAATTTCAGACCTCATGTCAGAAGTTTCAACATTTTTGTAAGATTGATTCATATTTCCTCGCTACCGTGTACCTTTTCGGCAACCTGTAGAAAAATGAGCGGAAGCACCATGAAAGTCGATTGAAGCCCATTTCCGATCACCAGCTTCAGAAATGTCATTGAGTGGATTTGGGTTGGGTGGGAAGAAGGTTTGGTGGTGGAAATCTTGATTGAACCTTGTGAACGCTGAAAAGTGGCAAATAAAGTGTTCAGTTCATGCATTCATTCAGTAATTTCATTCAGTGAATGGGAATTTCTTCAACACCTTCTTTTGGGTCTTGGTCAACATAATGTCATTGAACTAAATATTAGTCGTTGCCATGGCTTTTCGTTGATACGCACCTGTCGCAGAATGAATTCCTTATAGTCAGCCATATACTTGCCATATAGCAGTATCTCGACCCCGGTTGGGACGATTTATTGCGAGATGGATCTCGTAAAATCAGAGCCCCTTTTAATCTGGCTGCGCACGAGCAGCCAGCTTGAAATTCCTCTTCACACCAGCACAGAGATGTTCTCTCAATGGACCAGTCGAAGCGACGAGAAATCCGCGCTGAAAAGGGGGCAATTCTCGCTCTTTCCGGAATGCCTCTCTTCCAGGCCCGAGTCCATATATTGCGGCTATCTCGAAAAAGATGCCAAACTGGGAAAAAAAAGGGGGGGTTCTTTTCAGGAACCGAGATCGGAAATGAACCGGACTCTGTCGAGCAGCGGAATCCGTCATCCCTCCCTTTCGGGGATAATCGCGAGGGGTTTCCAGCAATTGCGAGGTGATGATGATACCCTCCTTCACCCAGACCCCCCGAGATTGATGGAACATTTTTCCCAGCAACGATATTCTACTGCCGTTCTTCGAACCCCCGAGATATTGCGTCCTTGGGAACGCGGGGTTCTTATTCTTCCCTGCCAACTTTTCTAGACACGTCGAGATGCGAACGGCATACGTGTCGGCGTTAAAAAATGTAAATATATATGCAGTATATAGATATACATGTAAGCGGGAAATAAACTACTTCACCCCGGATCTTCGAGCACGCTCAAGTCAAGTCTTGCCCTTTAAAATATCGCCCGTCCGAAACAGGCATTAATGATTTCTTCCTTTCAACACGTGCTCTCCCGAATCGTGTAAGAAGCCACATTCAAAATAATAATTTTTGAAGTATTCGCTGAAACATGCGGCGTCATTTCTTCAAGCAATTAGTTCACTTTTTCATTCCTTCCGAGTAGAAAATTTTTTTTTTAGAAAGATCATTGACGCGATTTTTGTCTACACTGAAGTAATTGCAGGAATTATACTGCAAGGAATTTCAAACCGCATATAGCGTATATAAAGATAAAAAAATAGTAACGTTCTTTTGCATTAACTTTGTTCAAATGAGCTGCATAAAGGGTTTAGAGGTTCCCTTCGATGAATTAAATAATTTTGCTATTCTATGGTGTAATTTTGAGTTTCCAGCATGTACTTGACCAAAGTTAGGGCGTACTAAAAAGTCAGGGCGTAAAAGAATCGGAAAATCGAAGCACATTGTGGTACTTGGCCAAGTGGTACACCCAGCAAGTGAACACTACCACGCATTTCAAGTGCTACTAACCACGAAATGTTCGGAACTCCTGTTATTTTTTACAGGATGGGAAAAACACTCGCTGAATCACAAATGAAATTACTGTTTCTCCAGAAAAAAAAATCCTTTTCTATGTAAAACCCAAAAAGTATATTCGCCAAAGTTCCTCGGAGAAAAAATGACTCGGTGAGAAACCCCGTGACCGGCATATCTGTTTTTTTTTTTAAAGTCAGTCAACTTCAGAACGAAAATGCCCTCTTCAGCGCTCAAATTTTTGCCTCAAATTTTAAACGTATCAACTCAGTGCAAGAAATATGTATAAGGTTAATATTCAAATGGTTGCACATTTTCAGATGGCTTCATCCGCCAGCATTTGCATTAAAAAATTGAGACACCATCAATTTTAAGACGGACCCTGTGCATTCATGTCGTCAAAATTGGCAACTGCATTTTATTCAAATAAATACAGCAAAAGACTAGGGGATGCATAGTTTTTATTTGAGGAAAAAATAAATCCCTATCACCACTCGGGACGACTATTCCGGCAGATCAGATCCCGAACGTCTCAGTTGGGGACAAGCAAATGTTTGCCGTTCTAGCGGAACTCATATGTCAACTGACCCCTTTTTTCCCCCCGATGCTCGTGTCATGAAGAAGGACTGGCTGACCAAGGAAAACAAAACCGTGCATAATTCAATCCAGTCCCGACCGTGAATATTCCCAGTGTGACACGAATGACGAATTCCCATAATCTCATTTTCAGGCACGTCGTTCATGGTGACTTCCTTCCACTCCTTTGCCCATGATAATGTTGGCATATGCATCAGAAGAAAAACTCAAGACTCGGAAAACCACGTGAACAGTTTTTCAACAATATTTCCTTCTCTTTCACGAGTACTGGGATCACAAGGGTGAAATTTTGAACAGTCCGAGAGAAAGACGTTGAATTTAAGAAAAATCACCATCGATCCAAAAAAAAAAGTAGCAGAGAAGCTTGAGATGTACTCTCTCCATACAATGATTTCGTTCAAATTGAAGTTCTCCATGCAACAAGATTTTCATTTGGTTCTGACGGAATACCTGCTGATAATTGTAATGTACTCTTTAATTAGAGGAAAAGTATCTCTGTTGTATAATTGCGTGTTGGTCTCGCACATGCAATTGCATAGACACGGGTACTGCATCAGGGTTCTAACGAGACCGGTTCAGAGAAGTTGAAGGCATTCACTTTCCTTTTAGCCTCGATCAGGAAACCTTTCATCTCATTCAAGTTATCACTAATAATCCGGGATACAGTATTCTGGAAATCTGAGACACTTTGAGAGCCCATTAAAACGAATTTGTGAGTACGAATTAAAAACGGCATGGACCGTGAATAAAATTAACACCATGAATTTCACTCAGAGTATTGTTCTTCAATGCTCACAACTTTGATCTCTGTATATATCGGCATTTTTCCGCTCTTCATAAAATTCCCATAGACAATCCAGCAAAAAAATATTTGGAAATTAATTATCAAACATATCATTTGCATATGCATCAGAAGAAAAACTCAAGACTCGGAAAACCACGTGAACAGTTTTTCAACAATATTTCCTTCTCTTTCACGAGTACTGGGATCACAAGGGTGAAATTTTGAACAGTCCGAGAGAAAGACATTGAATTTAGGAAAAATCACCATCGATCCAAAAAAAAAAGTAGCAGAGAAGCTTGAGATGTACTCTCTCCATACAATGATTTTGTTCAAATTGAAGTTCTCCATGCAACAAGATTTTCGTTTGGTTCTGACGGAATACCTGCTGAAAATTTTAATGTACTCTTTAATTAGAGGAAAACTATCTCTGTTGTATAATTGCGTGTTGGTCTCGCACATACAATTGCATAGACACGGGTACTGCATCAGGGTCCTAACGAGACCGGTTCAGAGAAGTTGAAGGCATTCACTTTCCTTTTAGCCTCGATCAGGAAACCTTTCATCTCATTCAAGTTATCACTAATAATCTGGGATATTCTGGAAATCTGAGACACTTTGAGAGCCCATTAAAACGAATTTGTGAGTACGAATTAAAAACGGCATGGACCGTGAATAAAATTCAAACCATGAATTTCACTTTCTCATAACAAGAAGTTACGAGTGTTGAAACTAGAGACATATATAGCCGTAAAAAGGCGAGAAGTATTTTAAGGGTATCTGTTAGGTCGTTTTTTTATAAACCTTTAATTAATAGTTTGTATAGTAATACGCACTTCTGTAAAAACTCGAGAATCAAGACAGACAACGTGATCCTTTTTTATAAAATTGGTGGAAATAATCGTATTAATCACCGCAACTATATTCGAGTAAGATGCACGCCCAATTTTTTTCCTCAGCAACTTTTCGACGAAAAGTACTCATGCTAAAAAATAAGGGAGCAGCCGACGGATTCATGAAGGGAATCAGTTCAAGAAATATAGGAATACCAAAAAAAAAATCATAAGGAGCATGAATGTCTTCAACTGGTGGAAAAACTCGGTATACTCCTGAACACCATCAAGCTCCAAGTTACACAGAATACCGTCTGTACTGAATAATTTTCATCTAAAAAAGAAAAGGCTTTCATTGCGGGCAACCTCAATAACTACGCATGAACACTCACCTGGAAAGCTTGGACATGGTCTGCGCCTTGAGCGGATGGCAAATGGCAACGTATCGTTCAGCCGTGAATGCAGTGATGACGAGAATGCTCGCATTCGTCGCCACCTCGACAGTGAGTGCCTTCAGAATGCAAAACGCCTCCCCAAACACGTACGGGTACCGGAACCACTGCAGGTACACCTCTTCGGGCAACCCAATGACTAGGAACAAGAGGTCTGACACAGCGAGGCTGAAGAGGTAGTAATTGGTCGCAGTGCGCATCGTCGGGTGTTTTATAATCACGAAACACGTGCACACGTTGCCGAAAACGCCGGTGACGAAAATGACGCCGTAAACGATGCTCAGGGGCAATGCCACGATCATCGGGTTCATCGGATCACCCCACATTTGACGGATCCGCGTTTCGTTCAGATCCTCCGGCGGGAGACCCGAGGAGAACAAGTGGCGTTTGAGGTAGTAAATAGCTCGCAAACTTACGTGGTTAAGTGGTGGTGATGGAAACCCCGTGGCTTTAGATTCTTATAAGAAAAGTGTGAAGGACCTTTCAGTAACCTTTATTTAATGTCTCGAATAAAAATCACGACCAACGAATTTCACATGCTTGTGTGCATCTTCATGATTCGATCGCATCAGCATCATCAGACTCAAAAGTACTGACATGAGTAGGAGCGGAGTTTCCACCCCGAAATCGGGACCCTTATCAGAAATATATCTGGATTCTGGACAGTGACATAAAATTCTTTATCTCATGATTTAAAATTTCAGGGAAGAAAAACTGTTCATCTTCGCATGACCGGGTTCGGAACAATATTCAGGAGTGCACTGTCAGACGAAAAATTATTCTCATCATTTTCTGAATTCAGTTGACCTTGATTCGTTGAAGAAAAGGCATTTTTATGTTGACAATCCGTTAGAAATTCCGAATAGAGTTGGTAAAATTTTAATTTTCGGCAGTTCGCAAATTCTACCGCCAATTTCGAGCAGAAGCCAATCCACTAAATCAAATGCGGAATGGAGCAACAGTCACCTTCGCGCTTCTTGAACCTCGCTTTTGAAACAATGGCATGCTGCAGATAAATTCTCGTTTAAGAGAACGNATGCGGAATGGAGCAACAGTCACCTTCGCGCTTCTTGAACCTCGCTTTTGAAACAATGGCATGCTGCAGATAAATTCTCGTTTAAGAGAACGTGGACCGATTTTTTTTTCGCCAGGTCAGAGATGAAAAACTGGGTCGAGGATAGGAATTCCGCGAGCTGAGGTTCGTGGGTCCGTCACGACGACGACGACGACACTGTCACGGCGACTTGTGGCTGTCGACAAATAAGCATCGGCTGGGTCGGACTCGCGCCTGCTCGCGCCGGGTGTATCAAACACATACACTTACTTAATGCTTGCTGCAAAAAAATAAAAAATAAATATTGCTGCTCATCGTGAGCAGGTTTTGACCTTGAAAGAGCATCTAGAGGAAAATTGAAGAGCAGAAATGCGTCGCATGCATTTTGCGAACTAGAAAAAATTTTTGCGAGGGCGCTCGCCGAGGCGTTGTTAATTTTTTTTTTTTCAATAAATTGGTTTCTGTCAAAAATTAAGTTGGCGCCGAGAATGAGGGTGAAGACTAATCCGAGAGGAATTCTTCTGTCTGATTGGAATAGCGTTTTTCCTCTCTGAGCTCTTTAAAATGAGATGGCATTCCATTCCATCATATCAGGTCAGAAGATAAATCACGTGGAACCGAAAGAGATTCAAGATTTCTTGCTATTTTAGTTTTTTCCTGACGTTTGTATACAGAGAAGTCCATTCGTCAGAGATTCTCGGAAAAATGAGACTGATTTTATACTTCTGCCAATTTCGAGCAGAAGCCAATCCACTAAATCAAATGCGGAATGGAGCAACAGTCACCTTCGCGCTTCTTGAACCTCGCTTTTGAAACAATGGCATGCTGCAGATAAATTCTCGTTTAAGAGAACGTGGACCGATTTTTTTTTCGCCAGGTCAGAGATGAAAAACTGGGTCGTCCTATCCTTAAGGCGCTCGACTCCAAGCACCCAGGCAGTGCTGCTGCTGCTGCTGTGACAGTGCCGCTGAACACCGACAGCTGTTTATTCGTAGCCGACCCAGCCTGAGCGCGGACGAGCGCGGCCCTGAATCAAACACATACACTTCCTTAATGCTTGCTGCAAAAAATAGAAATAAAATATTGCTGCTCATCGTGAGCAGGTTTTGACCTTGAACGAGCATCTAGAGGAAAATCGAAGAGCAGAAATGCGTCGCATGCATTTTGCGAACTAGAAAAAATTTTTGCGAGGGCGCTCGCCGAGGCGTTGTTAATTTTTTTTTTCAATAAATTGGTTTCTGTCAAAAATTAAGTTGGCGCCGAGAATGAGGGTGAAGACTAATCCGAGAGGAATTCTTCTGTCTGGTTGGAATAGCGTTTTTCCTCTCTGAGCTCTTAAAAATGAGATGGCATTCCATTCCATCATATCAGGTCATAAGATAAATCACGTGGAACCGAAAGAGATTCAAGATTTCTTGCTATTTTAGTTTTTTCCTGACGTTTGTATACAGAGAAGTCCATTCGTCAGAGATTCTCGGAAAAATGAGACTGATTTTATACTTCACTGGAAGGAAAATTTCTCCACGGACGTACACAGAATATATAGGGGTAAAAGCAAAAGGAAGCTCATAATAAATCAAAAGCGGCAGAGAAAAAGAATTCGAGAAATTCCCGAGGTCCCCGGTACCACGTGGCAGATCTTATCGTCAAATCCTCGACTTACCAGGTAAACACAGACTTAACTCGTATTTTATCCGTTAATTTCTCACAGACATCTCCAGCTTGTATTGCGTCCCACTTCCCTGGCAAGACTGGAATGACACTTCAGGAGGAAATTTGGGCTTGTCTTCCTTCTTCTGTCCCGGTACTGTTATTATGCAGTCCCCCTCTTTCCATCTCAAAAAAAATGTTTTTGTCACTTTTTAAGCATTCCAGCTTCCGCGGTATCTTCTACACAAAAGGCGCAACGATTGACAGAAGCTTCATTCCTTTTGTTTTGTTACGCCGCTTTGCATATCTTGTTAATGACTTCCTGCCACCGCGAAGAAAAATTGCTATTCCAACCGACTAATGTTTTCTGTAGAAGCCTGCTTTTTCTGTACAGTACTGTAGTTTCTTATGCTGAAATCTATGCATATATTAGTTACATGGCCTTTTGCTGTTATTACTGTGTTATATTTAGGATTTTCTATTACTCGCTCGATGACTGGACATTTTATCTGCTTTCATGCACAAAATGTGTAAATTTTATATGATTAACTGTTTTTTTACATATGCGTAAAGTTCAATGCGGGTCTTCAGATATTCAGGAACACGAAATGAAATTCCGTAGCGTACTGATGTCGTAATAAGTCGTCAGCAGATCTTGGGCTAATTAAAATCGCAGACAAATACACGCATCCTTGAGTACATTATTGCACTGCATAATATAATCCTGCAGATATAGGTCCACCATTGCTGATATTGTATAGACTTAAAAAATAGTAACGTGGAGATTATTACATGTATCTGGTCCGTTTGTTTACGGCCCACTGTGGTGAGGCTACTTGATGGATAAATTTTCAAGAAGATATTATTTCTTATTGTTCTGTAACACGAGAACACATTTCCTCATGATCACCACCCCACGCCGAACGAATTGAAGTTTCAAAAGACTCAGGATTTTCGCGACTCAATAAAAGGGCATTCTCCCAAATAAATCTTAAAGTACCAGGAAAAAGTGTTACATTCGAATGATTTATCCTCAAAAATTCTTTAAAAATGTCCCAATGAATTGCAAATTATCTAGAAACAATTCGAACACCTTGTAATTTAATTTGTGCTCAGTAATTGCCTTGTGTACTGCTGTCATTTTCGTAATTTTTAGAGAGGAAAAATTAATGGCTATTGCTTATCCATGCATTTTTCTTCATTTTGAGGCATTTTCTTTGAGTTCTTATAAAGTGAATTGATTTTGATAGACTAGAATGTTTTTATATGTCTAGAAGGATATGGGATAACTTGGCAATATTTTGAACACTGACAAAAAGCAGCACATACAGTTTTTCGTTTCAATTAATCAATCCTATTATTCTTAGAATGCTGCTTTTTCCTCAGAAAAGTTTGAATTAATTTTCAAACTAACCTTGAAAGGCGAAGATCAATTTGTCCTGCGTCTCGTCTAACAACAGCATCTATAGTCACTATCACAATGCCGAAGGAACCCGAATGCAGGGCATACGGAAACCAAGTCTTTCCAGGTTCCCAGCACTTGTGAGAGTGCAGCTGCAAGCTGTTGTCGTAGAGGTTCCGAGGTGCCAAAGCGCACCCCCAAAATGCGCGCCGACAGAACCACGCCGCGGCCCAAAATCGTTGGGATTCAACACACGGGTACCATCACAGCTCCGATCCATATGAGCGCCTATCAAGAGCATTTCCGCTTTTTCGTTCAGTCGACGCCATGCGAAGGACAGCTTTTGGTAATCCGGTTTTTAAGCCAATACCTGGTCAAATAAGTCACGGAGAAATATTTCGCGGAATTAAATATAAACCGTTCCCATTATTTATAAATATGCAGTAATAAGCAACTACTGTGCTGGCAATTGAAGACTTTCTGATGGCGAACCGATTCTTGAATCTGTCTTACGATAAAAAAAAACAAAGGCATAAGAAATATTAATTTTTGAAACTCTTGCCGCTCTTTGTAAAACTGTTTTTAGCGTATTGCTTAATTCATTGCGGGGATGCTTTAGATTTGAATTCACAGTTCTTTTTTTCTCAACTGCATTCTCGATTTAACCACGTAATGCAAAAGGTGCAAACTTCTGAGGATTCAAGCCCACGTGACTGGTGGAATATTGGACAATGGCGTGGTTCTGCCAGAACGATTTTTGGGGAGCATGGTAGAACCAGGTCATAAGTCTTGAAATTTCAGGTTTCCGACAAAATGGACTCGATTGTGAATTTGTGATTGATAAATACTTGAAGTACTGCACACGAAGGGGCCTCTTCACCGTGAATCGTGAAATCTTTAATGTGCAGACCACTTCGGCGGAAATTGCACAGTCGGCATTTGTCAGATGTGGATGTCGCTGACGATAGCTATTAAAGACGGAAGCGAAATATGAAAATTATGATTGTGAAACTTGCCGAGGCTCGTTGCAATTCGGGGACTGACACTCAAACGTCAGTTTTTTTTCTTTTCTCGATGGCAGGGTAACGAACACTCATTTCAAGTTGTCGAAGCATTTGGCGAAATGTTTCGAAGTTCAGCGAACATTAGGCACTTTAACATTCTTCATGTACTGACAGCAGATTTTTCAGATTTCTCCTTTTATTTTAAGCGAACAGTGGCTTCCGAATGAACAGCTTGCATGCATTTCGCGACGAAGATATAAACCGACATTTTGTTCCAGAACAAGCACGGAACGTCGCTCTCCCCGACAAGGACCCAAACTTCTCAATTCGCTTAAACGTCACCAAGTTTCACTGCAAATCCTTCATTTCTCACACACACTTTGCATTTTAGAGTACTCTGGAAGTTTTTGAGTGCCGAACGCGACGTCAGCAGAGAACTTTCGAACATCCGCGTGAGGAAATGCCACCCAAACAGAAGGTTCTAGACAGATGCCATCAAAAGACTGACGCAGCTACGCCATCCAGATTCGTGCCATCATCTCAACCTGCGTAATCGCCAGGATCTCGTTTACAACCCGTTTTCTGGTAATCAAAGCAAAGTATGAGTTCCTTGACTGGTTCTCAAGTGGTCTCATCAACACGGGTTTGGACATCAGAAACAGAGTTGAATTAAAAGAAGACAATTCCTTTATGAAGTGCCCGGCACCTGTCGCAACGCATTCCCCGGGGGAAAATTGCACGCGGGAAAGCGGGATTTGAGAACAGGAATTCCGGCAGCCCGTTGGGTCACATCGGGAGCAGGAAGCCGGAAATATCCGGACATAATGAGACGCATTCACTTTTCAGCCGTTCCCGCAAAAAAAAAAAAAGTCATAGAAACACGCCTAATTCCCCTCTTTTTCGCCTATAGTCCGTTTATATTCTCTCATTACCCAAAATAATAATTAGTCTTTGAAGGATTGCTGTGGAAAATGTGTAGAATAATTTATAAACAGCTTCTCAACGTTGGCGAGCCCATTTTCATTCGCGTAGAAAAATAGCAAAAGATTTCTCCGCGATTTCTCCGCGATGGCCGGGAAATTAATCAAATAGTTGTAACTTCTCGATGATTTCTTTTTTTTTTTGCATGAGGTCGCCTCTTTTTTTTTAATTTACTTGGGGAAATCTACAACTTTAGTCGATGAGAAGAAATTTTCGCTTGTCTGGCAAATCCGACATCTTGTGACTGCATGTTTGCTTATTATTTTTTAATTAAAAACCTGCTTTTTATCCTTCTCTCCACCGATACGATCGATCTTTGTCTTGATTGGGTAGCAAAGTTCATCACAGTAATTTCGACTTCATAGTTGAAGCATAACCATTATTCCTAGGACAGATAATCCATTTATTTTTTCAGCGGTTCCTTCCGAGAAAATCTTCGACGTAAATCAATCTTCATTTAAATTTGAAAATCCTCATAATTTCTATCTAATGTCGTATACGATTTTCAAAAGAACACTAGTCGACGGAAAAATAATCACCACTTCCTCTCAGTGAGGATTTTTTTTCTCAGTCTCGATCAACTATTTTACCTTACGAAAATTGTGCCTTGATTGACCAGTACTTCTTCAGATGCAATGAATAGATTTACAGATCAATTTTGCTTCGTCGTCATAAAATTCGTCTGGGGATTCAAGATAAAGCTCCAATCAACGACAATGCATGGACAAACTTACAGCTGTCGGACGAAAAGTTGAGATATCCTTCTAAGAACCCGATTTCAAGGTTGAATACGGGATCAAAACAAGATTGCCTGTCTGATTGACTCGCATCAATGCCACGGAAGATGATCGCAATCGATCTCCTCACGCGAAAGCTTGTACAGACCGTCGAGTGCAGCAATCGAGGGGAATGGCGGACATTCCGACATCGAATCGCACTGACCCAGCCGTATCAAGAGTCCAATGGGACAGATCAGACCCCTTGGCCTGAATTAGTAACCCACCCAAGGTCATTGTTTTCCCGCCAGCAAATGTGACCCAGCGACACTTTTGTACGTGCACACGTACGTCACTTCTCGACGCTTCTTTTTTTCGAGTGTTGTTCTCTCGAAAATTTAGAAGGTTTCCTTAGTAAAGAACAATGTTGATTATTGTTGTTTCCGTACTGTTACTTCCCCATTCTCAGAACAAAGAATGAAAATACTGTACTGTATATCTTGAAGTAAGAAGCGCACCCCACATTTTTAGAGACTCAAAATTGAAGTATTTTTAGAAAAAAAGGTATGAAAAATTAAATTTTCCACTTGATGACAAATTAAGATTGAATTTGAAGTCAAAACTTGAATTTTAAAGCTGAACATCTTAATTATGTTAAATTTTTGCTGCACTTCATTCTTAATTTAAGCAGGGTCATTTTCGCCAATTTTTAAAGACAGCACATGGGAATTTGAAAAAAAGGTTTAAAATTCTAAGAAATGTTATACTGTACTATACTCATCAATCACGAGCACTCAATTTTTTCGCTTAATTTCGAAAGACAAAATCGTGCGAGTGGCTCTCGATTAAATACGGGTAAATAATTTTAAATTTGTCTCACATTTCAGGGAGTTGATCCTTCAGTAGCTTCAACTTTGCAAATAAATTTGTCGCTACTTGACAATACAATTAAATACAAATGATAATTACGCTATTGTTGAGCAAAAATACTTTAAACCCATACATTTACACGAAAATGAACAAGAGGATGCTCAGAAAGAGGAAGCTCAGATAAATTACTGCATACGTTTCTACACAACATATGTTTTCCCTATTTTCCTTCGTTCTTCACAGCTGCATGTGAATAATGCAACGTGCGTTTCTTGAAGGATTTTCTGGAAAATAGCATCACCGATATTTTAAATTACAGTACCTCAAGTATTTGCTGATAGATATGCAGACGGAGCAAAGAAAAGTTTTGGCAAAAAAAAATTTGGTAACAGAAACGTGCACATGTAGGACATCAAGGAGGATTTCTGAGAATTCCAGGTGGATACCGCATAGAACCAACTACACCCACAAAAGATAGACGCATGGATGGATACAAAGCATTATAGATGCCACACAAAAACGTTCTGCAGGCTCGATCTGTGTGCCAGTTTACTCTCGCCATTTAGCGCAAACTCCGCCAGCTGGCTGAGAATGCACTGGCAATGTGATTCTGAAACTCTTCGGACTCCATAGAAAACGATTGCTGAAGAGTCTTCACTTAGCAACACACATCGCAACAACGAAATGACGGCGACTCACACAGTTTCTAATAGAGAACGTGGATTGTTGTCGCTCTCGCTGATTGCCCGGGGCACACAATGCTCTCGTCAGTGGGCTTCTTGCCATCCTCATTCACTGCTCCATCCCGGGGTGTTTTTCCTTCTTCTTTTTTTTTCCTGTATTTCCGGTCTGGGCGACGGAAAGCGGAATTGATCAGGCGTGCCACAGTCTGTGCTGTCCGCTGAATAACAGAAACGACTGTCAGGAATATATCGCCCTGGAAAGCACCACCTGATCATCGTCGAATACAGAGCATTAATCCGCCGAGGTTTTTCTAAATCCTGAGAACACAGGAAGCAGCAGGAATCTGTCGTGCATTATAATTTTTGCCTGATGATGAGCTTGAGAAGAATTTCACGCTTGCTCATAATTTCAACGGACAGCCAAAATACAGCGTAGATTATTTTATACCTACTACCATGGAGAAAATCCAACCGGAAGTGCTACAGTCACATTTCTAAAAAATGTATATACCGTATAACTCTAATCAAAGCTATTGGAACTTTTTTGGTCTCGTGTAAATCATTCAATTTGTATCGGTGCTATTAACGACATAGAATCAAGGACAAAAAATAAGAGTCAATATTTGAGAGCGAGAATTGGAAATCCATTTGGCCACTCATGCTGCGTGGATCCTTATTATCGATAATTTACGCGGATGGATTTCAAAATGTAATATTCAAAGACACGGCAATGGGTGGGTTGATATTTTTTAATCATGTCACTGTAAAAGATTCTGTACCTGATTTTCAATTTATTGTACGTGAGTT